GTATAGCTACTTCTACGTTTACCTTGAAAATAAAGTAACCTTGATTTCTGTTAATAGATAAATACAACTGATAAGGTATGCATTCACGTTTCCTGAAAATAAAGTAACCTTGATTTCTGTTAATGAATAATACACTGATATAGTATGCATTCATGTTTCCTGAAAATAAAGTAACCTTGATTTCTGTAAAAGAATAATACACTGATAAAGTATGCATTCATGTTTCCTGAAAATAAAGTAACCTTGTGTGTACAAAAAAATATCAAACATATCATAATTACTCGCTTCTTTAATCATTATTCATTCAATTACCTAAATAATAATGTCATTTAATAGACATTCTTCATTTAAATACGATATAACTCTATCATCGTTCAGTTCTTTGTGTTAAGAAAGAACACCATTTTGATAAAATGCCTAAATTTATCAGGAAAGTCATTACAGCAAAATAATATCAAAATTATCATTAAGTGACTCACAAAAGTAAACAGCAAGAGATTCAGCCTTTTCAATCATCTGCTGTAGCTCCTCTCCATCTACTTCTTCAATCATTTCACTGCTTGGATCCTTCTGTAGAAGAAGCCACTCCAAAATCCTTTCCCCATTTTTTAAATCCCCTATAAAATAATTATACTGTATTACAACCATTTATTAAAACTTCTATTAATAAACATTACTTAGAAAAGGTACAGTTTTTGCTTTAATGGAATGCTCTTGTCTGTTCCTAGAGGGGGATGATGCTTCAGCTCTTATACGAAGGCCTCAGTGTAGAAGCAGAAATATTGTCAGACACTATAAAAAACAGCCAGGATCAGTCCATTAAAACCAAAACAAAACCATGTTTACTCTACTTAAAATACCTTTGAAACAGCTACTTAGACAAATAATGTTTGATAGTGGATGTTGCTTAAGAGCTATTTCTGAAAAGTATACATAAACCTAATAGTTATATTGGAAATTTTTATCCTCTCATTAATGTCCTGAATTTATAAAAACAAAAAACTCCAAAAAATTTTACAGCAACAAGAATATTTTTTGCATTTTTTACATTGCTATAAAATATCTGTTAAGCTCAGAACTAGACAGTCTATGAAACCTACCTGCATATATTACAGGTTCTTTTTCATTCTGCTTGAAAAACACCACAGCAGGAAGTGCAAAAACACCAAATTTCTTTGCAAAGTTTGGATCATCAATTTTAACAAAGTGAATTTCTGCAGTATCAGCTTCATCGTCAATTTTCTCCAATTCCTCCAGAACCTTGTCACATGTCTTACATTTTGACTTGGTATCTAATGTAAGATTAAATACACAGACTTTTTTAGAAATTTTAACAAGGTTAAAAATAAATAAGAAAATTTATGTAATACTTTTGAAAGTAATTTTTGAACATATTTTCTATCTGTCTTTTACTTACTGTTATGGAATTACTAAAAAGCTATATACTAATTCCCTTAAAAGTATTAAAAATATTGTCTTACATGATAACAATTTCACATTAATTGTTTACTTACAAAAAAACACAGCAACATCAGATCGAGACAGAACCCTCTCAAACATTCTACGATTCACTTTCTCAATAGCATCACTCAGTTCCATGTTCTCTGGGTTTGTCAGCCATTCCAATACTTCCTCTTCATCATAGAGATCACCTGATGAAATTAATAATCAGTTAAATGAATAAAAGTGCTTCTTTTATCATATAAGTAAGCTGTAATTATAGGCTAATGATCAATACTCTAACAAAATATGTTTTCATCACTGAAGACAGACATAATTATAGAAGGTGATTAGAGTTGGGCAATCAATATAATTAATTATCTAAGAGTAGCAATTATGTTGATTAGTGTCAGGAAAATATTCAACTAATCAAAATTAGTGTTACTGATTATTACTGTTTTTGATTATTCCAACAATCAATTAATATAAGTTAAGTTTAAATCAAATGTCACAAAAATAATCACCTAACTGAAATTAGGGATTTCAATTATTTGCTGTTTTTGATTCTTCTGACCATCGAAGTAATTGAAATATTGCCATTATGGTTGTTTGCTTCTAAGCACAAAGCTACCTAATGGATGAGTAGGGGGATGCTTCATAATTTGGAGGCCTCAAGTTTGATTTGCTTGTCCTGTCGTTGTTATTGCAAAGCTACTAAGGTTATCTGCTACAGTCATGTATTTTGAACTACTGACAAGAGGGAAGGCAACTAGCTGGTAAGCACAAACCACCAACTCCCTGGCTACTTAAATGTTAAATAAAGTGTAATTTTCTGGTTTTTTTACAATGTGTTATGTTTCTAATTTATAATTACATAACTATATTCTTTACTGTTGTATAAGAGAAGGGATTTGAGGGGACAATTCACACCAATTTTTTTCACAAATCAAGGAATATATTATTCAATATTGCAAAAGCTGGTGCTGATATAGAACCCCACCTCAATTTTTGTTCAAAATGTAAGGAATACATTGGATAAGAACAGATAATAACTGTCTTCGTCAGTGTTGTATAAGCAGGTGCGAATTTGTGTGTGTGGTGGGGTGGGGGGGGGGGGGGGGGGGG